CTACGAGGGAAAGATTGTGAAGAAGACTAGAAAGGGTGAGAAAAGTCAGTATTTCGGGTGGTTTTGAGCTGTTATGGGTGGTTATAGACAGTTATCTTGTAGGTATCTCCATTGATTTACGTTTATCTCTAGGGTAGTTATGTTTGTCTATACGTGGTTGTTCGTCCTGTTCTATCCGAAGAAAATATGCTGAACAGTAAATACAAAGGCAGATTACTTCCTAAGTTTGTGTTCCCAAATTCTGTAATCATAAACTATCTATTGCATAGAGAGCCAGAAAGCTTACATGGATCCAACCAAGGGGAAAAAGTGATAATCTGTCTTGAACCTCGAATATTTCCTCTTCGTTCAACGTCTGGCACTGAACATTACAAAAAATGATTTCTAAGTTTTGATTAAAGGCAACACAACAGTCGTAACTAGCTGAAGCTAAATCAAGTAATCCTCAAGTCAGTTATTACCATATATGAATCAATAGCATAGGGATGTACATAAAGTAACAAAAGATGAACAATATAAAACAATTAAAACTCAAACATATGCACAACCTAATCAACAGTCCAATGAAAACCAAAATTCAAAAGTAGTGAAAATCAATGACATGGAAGGAATGGCTAATTTAAACTTGAAACAGATGAAAAGTAATTATATTCTTACGGAATCTGATGTTGATTCTTGCTTTGGGATTATGAGCGTAGATATGTAAAAAACCCTGTTTTTCTGCAAACATATGATGAAGTATGAGAGCAATATAAGAAAATCTTTACAAAAAAAAAATGAACATTAAACCGTTACATTGCTCCTTACCAGAGAGCCAGCTAAAACACCACAAGTCTCCAGATTCTTATTTGTATTTTCTCGAGCCAATCTCAAGAAATCATCCAGCATTTTTACTGGCTGCGGGAATGAGTAAAAGTAACCAATATCATATCGCAAGGTAAACATGTTTGCAGCATAGATATGACAAAAGGAATTACTACATAGCAAAAGAAACTAGTGAACAATTAATTGCCTTTTGAAGTTATATAACGAAAATGAAAAGGAAAAGGCCTACAATGTGTAAGCGTTGGAACGACTCAGACTCGTCCAACGATTGTTTTGCCACTCCAGGCCTTGGATCTGCAACTTTAGATGAGGGAATTGCCGCATATTCCTGCTGAACCTTTGCAAGTACAGGAGGAGGAGAAGGTTGTTTAACCAATGGGAAAGGATCCTCCCTTACTTCTGTTATCAATGGAGTAATAGAAATGTCTGCAGGATGAGGCCATCTACCATCATCTAGTGAGAGCACTGATTCCATCATCGACACGACACCTCCTGGACCACTATCTTTATGCGCCACTAGATCACATTGTTCAATTTGATTCAGTCTGAAAGAATTCGAACGTTCCACATGAATATTTCAAGAAAAGATGATCAAAGAAAATGTAAAGCAACAATACCAAGATATTAATATGATTACATGTTTGTCATCAGGAAAGTAAACATTAAAAACACAGAAGACGAAAATTTTTAAATTTGCAGATAGTTATACAAGTTATACACGCGTCTAACCTTGAATCGAAAGGAGTAAAGTCCTGATTTCTTGGATAGTGAATCTGTATACAACAATAGGATTAACCAGTTATGGATATCACAATTGGCAGAAACAAGAGAAAACAACAAAATGTGCAAAAAACTCACCTTATCTGTACTTGGTCCCTTCCATTGGCCCTGAAAACCACTAGGTCCCAAAATAGAGTGTCTAGACAGAGTTTCGGGTTTCGGAAGTGGTACATTAAGAGACCTGCAAATTCCCAGCACCAATTATAAGATCATCCGTGCATGTTTATTAGAACAGGTTACTGGATATACGCCCAGAATTGAATTTCTATGGCCTCCATCGGAGAAGAAGACACAAACATTCAAGATATGACAATATATGATTTATAGCACTTGTTCTGAAGACAGTGTCCTATTCAAACATGACACCAGTTGCAGAAGAACTTTGACACCATCAACTGTAACGGCTCAGGCCCACCACTAGCAGATATTGTCCTCTTTGGGTTTTCCCTTCCGGGCTTCCACGTCTGCTAGGGAGATGTTTCCACACCCTTATAAAGAATGTTTCGTTCCCCTCTCCAACCGATGTGGGATCTCACAATCCACCCCCCTTCAAGGCTCAGCGTCCTCGCTGGCACTCGTTTCCCTCTCCAATTGATGTGGGATCTCACATCAACATACTTTCCTTTTTTGTTTTTTTAGTCAACTATGTTAAGAGTCAAGTTGTAGCCATTGAAGTTTCTGACTTCAACTCTAACTAGCTACATAAACTACAAAACGACCTTTTGGCTCACACTAAAACATAAATATTAGAATGATTTAACTCCATACATCATCAGAGGAGTACGTACTACTATGCCGTTAATGGATTCATATAAACAGGTACGAAATAAATGGGCAAAAATTATACTCACAGATTTGATAACCTATTCTCAATCCTTGAGTAACTTGATTGAGAAACTTGACCTCGGCCATCATGATACCTCCATGAAGATTGTAGCTGTGAATTGGCATGCTAAGAATCAAGAGGAGAGGGGAGGATGTGAATTACTAGAGTTAAATCACAAGCAATATAACAATAATCACATGTCCATGGGAAAATTTGTAAGTAATACAAGAACAGAAACCGTAAACAACAAGAATTAAATAAAAAACCTAAATAATTGGTGGAATTTCCATGAACGATTGATACACTTACAAGAATAGAAAGCATCATTAAAAAAATTTGAGTTGATACCTGCTTTTGATCCAAGACCAATGAATAGTTTCCATTTGCATAGGGCTGTATCATAGAAGACGGCCGCAGACTGTTTGAAACTCCTCTCTGCTCATCGGATGGAGGAAGACGAGGTCGTCCAGACACTTTCTCCAGTTCATTTACTCGGCGATCAAATTCAGGTTTCAAGGACTCAAGTTCATCTACTACACTCAGCAGTTTCTAGTAGGACAACATGAAACAATATTACAAAACATTCATACACCGTTCTTGAAAAAAGGAGCGAGATGTGGCGTTTTAACTCACCTTCTTGTAAAATATCTTCTCCTTTGGGAAAAAAGCCTGGTAATCACGATGCCGAGGTATGGTTTCGGAAACCAAGCTGAGAAAACAAGAACAAGTTGAGAAGCGTGTTCCCTACACAAAGAATCGGCATCTCTAGGCAATGGAAAACACAAGTATCAACCATATCCTTACCTTGAAAACCTAAGAAGTATAATGAACAAATCCACAACATTATTCTCCTCCCGATAAATATCAGCCTGCCATTTTAAGGAAAACAACTCAATAACATCAAAATACAATGAGAGGCAAGTAGAAATGGATCCATGGCAATTAGTGCGCAATTCTAATACTTAAACCACCGATAAAGGAAACTCCTATGAAGATCACTTCAACATCCATATATAGAGAAAGAAATGAAAATTAGCAAAACTTCTAATCAATCATCGACCATTAACAATTCAGTATCAATAATCAATTAGAACAATTGCGAATAACAGTTCCGAAAAGATCACCTGTTTTAAGAGATTATCGGCGATCCGAAAGTAATTCCGGAGAGGAATTCGATTATCAACCGCAACTTTTCGTGCCTCCCTATCGATGTTGATTTTCATTTTCAATTGAAGGCAAAAGCTAGCAATCAATCTGAAGAACTCCCCGTAGAAACTCCTCTATGAACGGTGTATCTAAACCAGATTGTTTCGGGCTGAAGAATTGAAGTTGAAGCTGTCACTCGAATCCCAACATGATGAGGTTGCAGCCTGCAGAAGAGGGCGCGCGGCGCGGCCTTTGGCCGTGAAATTTTCGAGAGGCGAATTCACAAACGCGACTCGCCGCCGTGCTCGTTTTTGACTTCTCACGCCACACGCGATTCCTTGATGCAACCAGGACCCGTCCTTCGTTATAAACGATATGTCGTACCAATTTTCGACATGTAGTTTTGTGCGAGAATATCTTTCCCTCCGCTGTAGACCATTTTAGTCATTTTCTACTTTGGCCTTGAGATACTGTTTACTTACTTTCCTTAAAAAAAAAAAACAATAAGAATAATAATAAAAATAAATATTTATTTTGGTTTAAAATCTATCTCTATACTTTCAAATTTATAATTATCTAATTTTTATTACTAACGACTCGATCTTTATAATTTAAAAATCAAATTTAATTATTAATTAATTTATCAAATGAATAAAATAAAGAAATAAAAATAATGTTGATGAGCCCCAAACCTTCAAGGATTTATGTGACAAAATTTTTTTTTTTGAAAAGTCAAATATTATTTAAAAATAAAATTTTAAATTTATTAATTATAAAGTTAAACATTTTTAAAAGTCTGAAAATTTTAAAATTGTTTTCAAAATTGTTTCTAATTATATAAAATCACATTTAGTTCAATAATAATTAAAGATAAACAGTATTATATATATATATATATATATATATATATATATATATATATATATATTTAATTATTATTATTTATTTATTTACATAATTGACCATATAAATAAATAATTTTTTTTAAGTGAATAGATCTAGATATTGCTTACTTATCAAAAGTTTAAATCTCAAATTATTGTTTGGCGATGGACACTTGGAGTGCACTAAGAGAAGCCGAAGACAGTAGGACAATCTATGAGAGCCTTCACACAACAGGCATTGTAAAGATGTCATCGAGTAGTTCTTTTGAGGATAACGACCTATCTGTCCACCAGCTTGGTTTGTTGTTACTTTCGTTTGGCCTATTGGGACTTCCATTTCGATGACTTGGCGGTTTATATGTTTTGCCCCCAGTGTTTGGGGTGTGTGTTGTTCTTCCTTGGTAATCCGCTTCATTTCCAAAGTCTGGCAATTACGGTAGTTAAGTCTTGGACTTTTTTATCGTGTATTTTTGTTTTATCGTTAAATTACAAATTTAAACTTTTTAAAACTATTAATCAAATGTCATTTTTCTGAAAATTAAAATCATAAAATATCTCGAATTCGATTTCAACTATATAAATAATTGCAACAAATTTCATAAAAAAAAATTAACAAAAAAAAAAAAATCAATGCTTCCAAAGATGTTTTCCTCTAGGATGCCACGTCGCCTTTTAATTTATCTATTCTACCTGCGTTACCATAAAACTCAAAGTCAAATTTTACTAGAAGAAAAAATAATAAATAAAACATCATTAGAAAATAAACAATTAAGAGCTTTAAATCGGTTTTTTTTCCCTTACAATATTGCCCTTCTCAGATGTGCATACCGGCCTCCTTGGTGGAAGCCGTGGCTTAGGGGTCCTCTGGTAATTATAAAAAAAAAAAAAAAAAAAAGTCAGGTCATATTTGTATATAAATGTAAATAAAAAATCTAAATTAATAAAAACACCACTAAATTTATACTTTTATCTCAGAATTTTTAATAATACTCTTAAACATTAAAATAAATCTAGAAAATATTTTTAAAGTTAGTTTTAAATGAAAAAGGTTAATATTTTATTTTTAAAATACCCTAAAAATTAAATAATATTTTAAAAAATATTCTTAAATTTTATTTTAATAATATCAAAAAATATTCTTACCTTTAATATTATATTTAAAAAAAATATTTATTAAATTTTAAACGTAATATTAACACTTTTACTTTTACAAACAAAAAAAAATCAAAATCGGACACTTCATATAAGTTATTTTGAGATTTTTTTTTTTCAATTTTAAGGTATTATCAAAATTTGTTTTAAAAAAAGTGAAGTTACAAATATTTTTTTTAATTTAGCCTAAATTCACAAAAAAAAAAAAACTAATAATAATAATAAATAATTATGGAAGCCATATGATCACCTGAAGTTTAGGCTGGAGCTTTTCTACGGCCACACTGCTACAGAGCCCTGCTCCCTGCTGCTTACAACACCACACACAAACAATTCAAATTTTCCTTTTCTTTTACCATGGTTAACAAGGTTGAGTCGATCGATTCTCGACTCGAGTAACTAGTTAAAGAGGACAATTCAACTCAAAACCAGCTCTTATACTTTCGAGCTTCCGTCTTTTCTTTCTTTATTGGGGTTAAATTGGTCTTTTCATTCTTTATTGGGGTCATATGGGGCAATGCGACAAAAGGGTGATTTTGGCCCGACAAAAAATGTTTGATATTCAAAAACTCATAGACGATGAAAGACATCAAACGCTGACAAACTTGACAACACGACGTCAAGAGACTCGTGGTCATGACTAACGAACAAGAGATAGAAAGGGAGAGATTGAGACAAGTGACTAATTGTGGCTGAAGAGAAAAATCGTTGAACCAGAAAATTGATTTTTTAACCTGCAAACTGGATCAAATTATTTAGTTCTAAAAAATCTAACTCAATCCGATCATTATGATAAATCTTTATTATCATTGTTAGACGAACAGAACTCTCCACAGTGGTATGATATTGTCCACTTTGAGCATAAGCTCTAGTTTTGCTTTGGACTTTCCAAAAGATTTGGAGAGAGTATTCTTTGTTTATAAACCTATTCATCATCTAACACCTTCCCTCGAACAAAGTGCGTCTCCTCTTAATCGAGGCTTGACTCTTTTTTCTTTTGGAGTCCTTTGTTCGATGTTTGAGGATTTACCAATCTATCTATTGGCACGACTAGGTTTAGGGCATGACTCTGATACCATGTTAGACGAACACGACTCTCCACAATCGTATGATATTGTCCACTTTGAGCATAAGCTCTCATTGCTTTGATTTGGGCTTCCCCAAGAGGTCTCGTACCAATGAAGAGAGTATTCTATGTTTATAAACCCATGATCATTCCTTAAATTAGCGGAGGTAAGACTTTCATCATCTAATAATTATTATTATTTATTTAGCGAAGAAAAGTGTGGGATGAAAAGTGTACCTTGCATAATGCCCAATCAGCAGAGTCAAAGAAGGCTCGTTCATGGTCCTATATAAACCCCAAATTATGTAAGCAACCGGAGTCACAAAGCCCCAAAGGCGAAACCACTCATTTATTATTATTACCTTTGAAATCAATGGCTTCTTCTTTGGGGCAAGTCCTCCATATCTGTTCCCACTTCCTGCCGTTGCTTCCTGTATTTAATTTACTTTTTACCATATAAACCTCAATAATATTTACATTAAATCCTAAAAATTCCTCGTAAATTTTGAGACAAATTTCAATCATACCCAGAAACAGTTTAATTCGAAAAAGCTTGGTAAAAAATTAAAAGGTCTACTTGGTATGAAGCCTTTTGAGAGCACAAAGCAAAATATGGGAGCTCATGCTCAAGATGAACAATATCATATCAAGATTCGTAATTTCTAACACCGAAAAAAAATATATATATATATATATATATATGCACATATATATGTTTTTATATATACATATACATTAATATTTTACTAAATTTAATAGAAGTATTAAAACACTAAATTATAGGGCGGTTAAATATTAAATTAGGTTAGGTTTAAATTTTACTTTTCATTTTTTTTAATTAAAATTTTTATTAAAATAATATTTAAATTTTTTTATTTGTCGTCAATAAATTCATAGAATTTTAATTTTCTAAATAAATTAATAAAAGATGAAAAATAAATTGAATTGAACGTACCTGGTTTTGACGGAAGGGGAAGGAGTTTTCTTCTCCGTCGCTTTGATGATCCGCCATGACTGATTTCCTGTAAGAAAAAAAGAAACGAAATCAAGAACGCCGCCATAGTTAACCAAAAGGATGAAGAAATTCACCGATTCATAAACAAAAACTGAACTCGACTCGACTCGGCCGAGTCATCTTAGGGCAACGACTCGCTCTGAAATCGAACTTTATTCGATCGATGAATCGATTTCGTTCGAGTTCTGAAGACAAAAAACGAGTTCGGCCATGGCGAAAAGGAAGAACGAATTCTAGAGAGAGATTTTCGTACCTTGAGAGAGAGAGAGAGAGATAGAGAGAGAGAGCGGAAGCGGCGAGGGAGAGATGAAATGAAGAAATGGATAGATGTGGAAGGGGGAGAAAAATAACGGGCGGTTGAGTAAAGAGGATATCTCACAAGAAATTGTACAGGATCCTTTTGAGGTTATATACTTTTTCAGTTTTTTTTTTAAATATATACACAATATTTGAAATAAAATAAAATAAAAATTTGTCGGTGACATTAGTCTATTTTTTAATAAATAAATAAATAAAATACATACCTACCCTCTATCTAAATTAAGATGAATATATATATCAACAAAGTACATCTTAATTTTAGATAGATAAGTTAACTCCAAAACATTTTGAATAAAGACGGAGCGTATGATGTTGAAGATTATTGAGAGTGAGTCTTACATTGGTTAATTTAGTGGAAAATCATGGGTTTATAAATAAGGAATACTATCTCCATTAGTATGAGGTCTTTTGGAGAAGTGCAAGAGAGCTTATGCTCAAAATGGACAATATCATATATCACTGTGGAGAGTCTTTATTTCTAACATGGTATCAGAGTCATGCCCTAAACTTAACCATGTTAATAGAATTCTCAAATATTGAACAAAGAATTTTGAGCCTCGAAAGTGTAGTCAAAAGTAACTAAAGTGTCGAACAAATGGTGTAATTTGTTCGAGGGCTCTAGAGAAAGGAGTCGAGCCTTGATTAAAGGGAGGTTTATAGTGTACTTTGTTCGAGGGGAGGATTGTTGACGATTATTGACGATTATTGGGAGTGAGTTACACGTTGGTTAATTTAGTGGAAGATCATGGGTTTATAAGTGAGGAATATTATCTCCATTGGTATAAGACTTTTTGGGAAATCCCAAAGCAAAGTCATCCGAGCTTAATGATATATTTTTTTTTAATAATATATCTGAAATACGAGAATAAAAAAAAAGTAAGTTTAAATAATTATAGAAATAAAAAAATAAATATCAAATTCCCTATTGTTTTGACGGGAACTGAGAAATAAAAATAGCGTTTGAAATTGGTGGTCAAAAAATAAACACGTATTATTTTGAATTTTGAAAGTTAGGCGGAATTAGGAGATTCATGACTATGGTTTCCTTTTAAGCTAAAAAAGCATTTACTTCACCATTAAACCGTCTAAATTCATTTAATGAAAAATATTGTTTGAGTTTTATTGGTAAAAGAAACCTCTCAAAACTTATTAAATAATAAAAACGTTTAAAAATATGAAAAATATTTTCTAACTTCACCCACTTTAATTTAATTCCATTAATTAGCATATTATTTATTTTTGTTTTCTTTTAATTTTTATTTTATCATTTTTCGAAGAGACTCAAATCTTTAAACAAATAACTTAAGATATAATCGATGTTTGATGAGATGCGACTCTTCGAGCATACATATATGTCTGTTGAGTCGAATAGATACCAACCAGTCGAATGCAACTATTTCGAGTGAAAAAATTAAAGTCGGTAACTTTTTAATTTTTAAATAATTTAAATGCATTATATAATTTTTCAATATTAATCTAGAATTTGGGATGCTTATAGCACGTGAGTTTTTATTTATTTATTTATTTATTTATCTCACTTATGAGCCTCTTTATTAAAAAAAAACATTTCTAAATATTATTTTTAAAATTTTAAATTAAAACTTCAAATTATTACTAAGCATTGAAAGGTCAAATAGTTACCGGATATTGAATTGAATTATATATATATATATATTATATAAAAAAAAAATCGTTATTTTTAGAAAATAGAATAGAAATTTCTTTATTTTTATTATCTAATTAATTTAATGATAATTATTAAGATTTATTGCAAACTAACCTAAAATTTAAGGTATTATCACTAACATTAAATTAAATTGTTTTAATAATTTAGAATAAAAATAAAATAATTGACAATAATTAATAGCGTAAAATATCTGTGTTCTAGGTAAATTTAAATAATTTAGAATAAAAATAAAATAATTGACAATAATTAATAGTGTAAAATATCTGTGTTCTAGATAAATTTAAATAACTAAGACCAAAGGAGTCAAGCATGTTAGACGAACATGACTGTCCATAATGTATGATATTGTCCGAATAATAGAAGCGACGCTCTTTCTTTTAGAGTTCTTTGCTCGACTCCTTTTTTTTTGGAGTTATTTGCTCGACTCTTTTTTCTTTGCTCGACTCTTTTTTTTTGGAGTTCTTTGCTGACTCCTTTCTTTTTTGGAGTTCTTTGCTGACTCCTTTTTTTTTTTGGAGTTCTTTGTTGACTCCTTTTTTTTTTGGAGTTCTTTGTTGACTCCTTTTTTTTTTGGAGTTCTTTGCTGACTCCTTTTTTTTTTGGAGTTCTTTGCTGACTCCTTTCTTTTTTGGAGTTCTTTGCTGACTCCTTTCTTTTTTGGAGTTCTTTGCTGACTCCTTTCTTTTTTGGAGTTCTTTGCTGACTCCTTTCTTTTTTGGAGTTCTTTGCTGACTCCTTTCTTTTTTGGAGTTCTTTGCTGACTCCTTTCTTTTTTGGAGTTCTTTGCTGACTCCTTTCTTTTTTGGAGTTCTTTGCTGACTCCTTTCTTTTTTGGAGTTCTTTGCTGACTCCTTTCTTTTTTGGAGTTCTTTGCTGACTCCTTTCTTTTTTGGAGTTCTTTGCTGACTCCTTTCTTTTTTGGAGTTCTTTGCTGACTCCTTTCTTTTTTGGAGTTCTTTGCTGACTCCTTTCTTTTTTGGAGTTCTTTGCTGACTCCTTTCTTTTTTGGAGTTCTTTGCTGACTCCTTTCTTTTTTGGAGTTCTTTGCTGACTCCTTTCTTTTTTGGAGTTCTTTGCTGACTCCTTTCTTTTTTGGAGTTCTTTGCTGACTCCTTTCTTTTTTGGAGTTCTTTGCTGACTCCTTTCTTTTTTGGAGTTCTTTGCTGACTCCTTTCTTTTTTGGAGTTCTTTGCTGACTCCTTTCTTTTTTGGAGTTCTTTGCTGACTCCTTTCTTTTTTGGAGTTCTTTGCTGACTCCTTTCTTTTTTGGAGTTCTTTGCTGACTCCTTTCTTTTTTGGAGTTCTTTGCTGACTCCTTTCTTTTTTGGAGTTCTTTGCTGACTCCTTTCTTTTTTGGAGTTCTTTGCTGACTCCTTTCTTTTTTGGAGTTCTTTGCTGACTCCTTTCTTTTTTGGAGTTCTTTGCTGACTCCTTTCTTTTTTGGAGTTCTTTGCTGACTCCTTTCTTTTTTGGAGTTCTTTGCTGACTCCTTTCTTTTTTGGAGTTCTTTGCTGACTCCTTTCTTTTTTGGAGTTCTTTGCTGACTCCTTTCTTTTTTGGAGTTCTTTGCTGACTCCTTTCTTTTTTGGAGTTCTTTGCTGACTCCTTTCTTTTTTGGAGTTCTTTGCTGACTCCTTTCTTTTTTGGAGTTCTTTGCTGACTCCTTTCTTTTTTGGAGTTCTTTGCTGACTCCTTTCTTTTTTGGAGTTCTTTGCTGACTCCTTTCTTTTTTGGAGTTCTTTGCTGACTCCTTTCTTTTTTGGAGTTCTTTGCTGACTCCTTTCTTTTTTGGAGTTCTTTGCTGACTCCTTTCTTTTTTGGAGTTCTTTGCTGACTCCTTTCTTTTTTGGAGTTCTTTGCTGACTCCTTTCTTTTTTGGAGTTCTTTGCTGACTCCTTTCTTTTTTGGAGTTCTTTGCTGACTCCTTTCTTTTTTGGAGTTCTTTGCTGACTCCTTTCTTTTTTGGAGTTCTTTGCTGACTCCTTTCTTTTTTGGAGTTCTTTGCTGACTCCTTTCTTTTTTGGAGTTCTTTGCTGACTCCTTTCTTTTTTGGAGTTCTTTGCTGACTCCTTTCTTTTTTGGAGTTCTTTGCTGACTCCTTTCTTTTTTGGAGTTCTTTGCTGACTCCTTTCTTTTTTGGAGTTCTTTGCTGACTCCTTTCTTTTTTGGAGTTCTTTGCTGACTCCTTTCTTTTTTGGAGTTCTTTGCTGACTCCTTTCTTTTTTGGAGTTCTTTGCTGACTCCTTTCTTTTTTGGAGTTCTTTGCTGACTCCTTTCTTTTTTGGAGTTCTTTGCTGACTCCTTTCTTTTTTGGAGTTCTTTGCTGACTCCTTTCTTTTTTGGAGTTCTTTGCTGACTCCTTTCTTTTTTGGAGTTCTTTGCTGACTCCTTTCTTTTTTGGAGTTCTTTGCTGACTCCTTTCTTTTTTGGAGTTCTTTGCTGACTCCTTTCTTTTTTGGAGTTCTTTGCTGACTCCTTTCTTTTTTGGAGTTCTTTGCTGACTCCTTTCTTTTTTGGAGTTCTTTGCTGACTCCTTTCTTTTTTGGAGTTCTTTGCTGACTCCTTTCTTTTTTGGAGTTCTTTGCTGACTCCTTTCTTTTTTGGAGTTCTTTGCTGACTCCTTTCTTTTTTGGAGTTCTTTGCTGACTCCTTTCTTTTTTGGAGTTCTTTGCTGACTCCTTTCTTTTTTGGAGTTCTTTGCTGACTCCTTTCTTTTTTGGAGTTCTTTGCTGACTCCTTTCTTTTTTGGAGTTCTTTGCTGACTCCTTTCTTTTTTGGAGTTCTTTGCTGACTCCTTTCTTTTTTGGAGTTCTTTGCTGACTCCTTTCTTTTTTGGAGTTCTTTGCTGACTCCTTTCTTTTTTGGAGTTCTTTGCTGACTCCTTTCTTTTTTGGAGTTCTTTGCTGACTCCTTTCTTTTTTGGAGTTCTTTGCTGACTCCTTTCTTTTTTGGAGTTCTTTGCTGACTCCTTTCTTTTTTGGAGTTCTTTGCTGACTCCTTTCTTTTTTGGAGTTCTTTGCTGACTCCTTTCTTTTTTGGAGTTCTTTGCTGACTCCTTTCTTTTTTGGAGTTCTTTGCTGACTCCTTTCTTTTTTGGAGTTCTTTGCTGACTCCTTTCTTTTTTGGAGTTCTTTGCTGACTCCTTTCTTTTTTGGAGTTCTTTGCTGACTCCTTTCTTTTTTGGAGTTCTTTGCTGACTCCTTTCTTTTTTGGAGTTCTTTGCTGACTCCTTTCTTTTTTGGAGTTCTTTGCTGACTCCTTTCTTTTTTGGAGTTCTTTGCTGACTCCTTTCTTTTTTGGAGTTCTTTGCTGACTCCTTTCTTTTTTGGAGTTC